GCAAACATATGGCAGATGCAATACAGTGTAGCTAAATGAATAGTGAAGGTATGGTATAACTTAAATAGTGATAATATTGGGAAACACCCAGTCAGTGAAAGTATACATGCTGGTGCAGCAAGCAACTAGGAAGGCAGATGTACATTGGCTTTCATTGCAAGAGGATTTGAATTCAGAAGTACAGTTGTCTTAAAACAGTTATATAGGGCATTGGTGATACCACACCTAGAACATTGCATGCAGTTTTCGTCTCCTTACTGAAGAAAAGATATACTTGCCATAGAGGGAGTGTAGCGAAGTTCACAAGGCTGATATTGGGATTGGTAAGACTGCCCAAAGATTTTGGATTGACTGGGCCCGTATCAGCTAGCATTTGTAAAAATGAGAAGGGATCTGATTGAAACTTGTAAGATTCTAGCAGGCTTGGACAGACTGGATGCGGGGGAATGTTTTCCCTTGTTTGGGATTATTGAACCAGGGTCTCTGTCTCACTTAGGACTGAGATGAGGAAACATTTCTTTACTCAAAGCATAGTGAACCTGTGAATTTCTCTGTCAAGATGGTTGTAGAGGCCAGGGCCCTGAATCTATTCAAGAAGGAAATAGATAATTCTTTGGCTTTTAAAAGCATCATGGGATAATAGAAAAAGCGGGCATGTGGCATTGAGATAGAAGATCAGCTGTAATCATATTGAATGTGAAGATGGCCTGAAGGCTGAATGGTCCACTCCTGCTCCTAGTTTCTATGTTTCCATTCCTGGTTCAAATCACTGGCTACATGAATTTGTTTCCACTTAAGTGTCCATATTTTTGCCAATTAGCTTAAACATGTGCCCTCTTGTTTTCTCACCTGCCGTCTTGTTTTCTTTCCTTTCATGAACGGGAGTAGACTGTCCCCATCTCTGTCCATACCCGTTGTGACTTTCAGTGCCTCAAACAAATTTCCCCTCAACTTTTTCATCGGGGAATGCAGTCCTAATGTCTCCTATGTATGTACGTAATTAAAGTTCCTCAAACCTAGAACTATGCTTCTGAACTTTTTATGCACTCTACTGACTTTGCATGACACCCAGAAATGGACATATTACTTCACTGAGGCTGAATCAGGGCTGTGTGTAAGTTTAACAATTTACTTGGTTTTGTACTTTGTCCTATTGATAAAGCTCTCTAAATCTGTTCTGCTATCGATGATTTACTTAGTTAATCTTTTAGGATAAGACCCATTGTTCTCTGATAAACTGATGGATCATCTTATTTATATTCTGAAGTTGTGAACTTGCCCCTTTCTACTGATTAATGCAGACCAGTCTTCAGCCTGGACTTCTTGAAGTGTGGTGAAAACCAGAGCCTTGCTGTTTCTTTCCTAGTCCGCAAAATATGTTAGAAAAATCTGTGCAGAGAAAGAGTTGACATTTTGAGTCCCAATATGGCTTCTTCAGAATTGAATAAATATGATGGCCATCAATAAAATTAGAAACAAATTTAGCAGAAATATCTTTACATAGTGATTTGATCGCTACTGTGGTTAATAGCATAGATACATTTATGGAGAAACCAGATAACATCATGGAGTGGGGAATAGCTAATGCTGAAAGGAGTAGATAAGACAAGAAGGAGCTACCCTGGAGCAATAGCACTGGCATGTAGACCTGTTGAGCTGAATTGAACGTTTCTGTGCTGTAAATTCAGTCAATAAGCATATTGTTTATCCCATTTAAATAAGTGAAACAAAAAACATTTCTTAAAATGTCAATTAATCACCTCAAACCCAAGAAATCCTGGAAAGGGGCATCAGTATTCTTCCAGCCTTTCACATTTGATAGGTACAGTCAGGTTGTTGGATTTTTTTTTACTTGGCATTTTAATTGATGCCTCTTCTTTAATAGATGCAGGTCAATGCGAAATGGAGAGTTACATATTTAATCTTAAAATTTTCACTTGAGCCTAGAGTATATCTGGATTGAACTGTGATTCTAATTTACAGGTTGTAACATTCACTAGGTGTAACATTCTTTTGGTACTGTCACTGACTTGACAGAACTCATAGATTTGAACCAAGCCAAATATTGGAAATAAACTGCAATTTAGTGACAAATAATTAAAATTCTCAGCTTCAGATTTGGAGTTCTGTTGTAGGAAATTGATAATTAATTGCTTGGTAGGGCCAAGTTCAAAACTGCTAAGAAGAGACATGAAGAAGTGGTTGATCATCTTGCATTCACCAGGACTGACACCCAATCAAATTTGCAAACGGAGCACCAATTTACACAGCATAACGTAGGCTGGACTGTGGTTGGCAGGAGATGCGGCTAAGGAACTGTTGACTGTCAATCTGAAACAAATACTTAGGACATGTAGGTACACTAATTGGTCGAAGTATTGCCATGAGAGATGCAGAGAACAAATTCTTTTTGCCTGTATAGGCTGGGGCACTGTGTTAATGTATGTACTTACTAGCACGTATAAATCTATCGTACTACAGTCTTCATTGGTAACTGTAAATTGGTTTCCCACTCAATTCTTAGCAGGGTTATTTCGTAAATGTTGTCCACTAGCAGAATTTGGCACTGTTACACACAGTATTCTGCAGTTTGCAAGCACAGGCTGGTTGAGTATGATTAGTGTGCTGACTGCCGTGAATGGTGAAAGGGGCGTGTTACTTATTTGGTATGACCCGGTTGATGGGATGTATGTTTTATGTCCCTGGCCATGCACTAGCATTGAAACTTTTATAGTAGGCAAACTGTGATTTTGGCCTGAATGCAGTATTCTGTAAACCAGTCGTGTATTTACTGCAATGTAGCAACGTGAAACAGCTAGTTTCACTTGTTTTTAAATTTCTGAAGCACCTTTTCCTTCCAAGGAATTTGAGGTAATTAGCAGCTCCCGCCTAGTTAGCTTCATCTACCCATTTTAGTAATATATATTCTCCTCTCCATGATGTTATCTATTTCCCCATAAGTGCATTTATGCTATTCACTTCATTCACTCCCTACGGTAGTGATCAAACCATTCTTTGTGTAAAGATGTTCCTACTGAATCCATTTTAGCTGAGCAGTGGTAAAGGGTATCACACAAGATAGCTTTGATAGATTCCTATTTAAGCATCAAGCTTGCATGATGAGCAAATGGTTATTCACAAGTTTCCAAATGATTGACCTTGTAGCACATGAAACTGTAGGAATCCCACTATGTATATTGACTGGTGAATGTAGACTTTCAGTAAGTAGAGAACTTCCATTTCTCAACCAACTCATCAAGGAAAGAGAGATTGAAATAGAACAATCAAGTAATGGTAAATTTGAATGAAGTTTGGAGTTATTCAGCTGTTTAAAGAAATTTTTTGCAGTTGCAACTATTGGAAATCTGTTATGTATGTAATGGAAGAACACAAGGGGTAGGGTCGAAGAATGTGTTTCTCCAGATAACCAGAGATGTTAGCAACAGCAGGGCTGAGAGGGGATATCATGGCAACACTGTCTATTTGGGTGCATGCGGTGCAGTTGAAACGGAAATGTGAGTTGTTCAATTCATGAGTTGTGTCAAAACCGTTTCAGACATTAATGGCACATCTAGATTGTCATATCATTGTCAAAGTGCAAGTGTCAATGGCTTCCTCTCATTTTTAAGTTAAACGAGCATCTACTTCTCCGCAGGATTTTTCAGTGCAGCATTTGTGTATCAAAGTTCAGATATTAGGCTGTGCCCTCTTTAAAAAGTAAAGTCTCCAATTTTATAAAGGGCTGCACAGCTTTTAGCTTCTAATCAGAGCTCCAAAGGATCCATTGCTATCTCTGAGCAGGTGACCCCACGATATCAATTTGCAACCTTCTGCAAGTTGTGGCTTACATTTTGGGAAGCCCTGGGCTAAAGCTGGCAGATTATTTTCTCCATTGATTACACAGTGGTGTTGGCAACAGGTCATATGTTCATTCAACTGGAACTAAGGTGCTGAAGTAATCTTTTATAAAAATCATTTGAATTGTGTGGTTATTGAAATCTCTTGGGCTTTTCCAAAGTCTATTTCAGTGCTTATCCAGAAAAAACAGGCAATGAATGTGGCCTTGTCAGTGTTCTCAAATACCATAGGAAGAGTAATTAATACTTAAGTCAGATCAGCCATGATCTGATTGAATGGCAGAGCAAGTTCGAGGGGCCAAATGGCCTATTCCTGTTCCTATTTCTTATGGTTTACGTGACCGTCTTAAATTGCTGATCTCTCCCCATCCTCATTCAAACAGAACCCATAAATTGGCACGTTAAATCCTTGCTCGGAACAACTGTTCTGATATCCAGTTACGTTTCAGTCACTTGCTATTTATATTATTGATGTCACCCTGTGCTGATAGAGGTTTAATGGCAGTGATGTGATCTTCAAAATAAAACTGCCTTTTAGCATTTGTTGGCATTTGTTGTCCTCTTCTCCTCCTCCCTGCTGTCTCCTAGAAGATGTGAAAAAAGTGGTAAGTACCAAATGCCTTCCAAGGCTGTGGACAGTGCATGGCATTGTTTTTTTTAATAACAGAATGGGATACTTGTTACTTGTGGATGTCTTTATTTGACTTTTGAGTTCAGGTGGAGCATCAAGTACCTAAAAATGTTCAATCAAATGTTCATCCTTATTAATCACAAAAATATACTATTATGCAGATTTAATTTCAGTAGTGCAGTTACTAACTTTTTTATTTCAACTGTCAAGTCATTCGCACATAGTTATGCTTAACTTGTTTTATGGAAAAAGAATTTTATTTAGTCAAGTTTTAAACTTTTTTTTGTGGCCAGGAGCAGGAACACTTCCACCTTTCTCTCTTCTCACCACCACCACCCCTCTCCCATATAAAAGTCTTATTTTAAGTCTTATGTCTCTTGACTCCACAACGAGATGAAATCCTTTACAGGTGTTTCTATTATTGCATCATGTTCTGTTGATTGTTTTGAGTATAACAGATGTTTGAGAGATATAGAACATCAAGAGTTGCTGACTTTCCTTTTTCTTTGCAGTGTATGCAAGACATGGGCAACACCAAAGCTCGACATTTCTATGAAGCAAACCTTCCTGAACATTTCCGGAGACCTCAGACTGACCAGTATCCTTGATGGCTGTTGTACAAAACAGATCTAGATATCATTTCACAAAGCATAGAAATGTAAGAAGTAGATTCAGATCTTAAGAGAGGGATAAAACAACCATGGCTAACCAAGAAAGTTAAAGAGTGCATTAAGTTGAAAGAAAAAGCATGTAAGGAGGCCAAAGTCAGTGATGGTCCTGAAGACTCTGATAAATTCAGAATCCAGCAAAGGAAGACTAAAAAGATAATAAAGACAAAATGCGCTACAAGGACAAACTAGCAGGGTATAAAAACTGACAGTGAGAGCTCCTTTTAAACATAAGAAAAGGAAGAGAGAGGTCAAAATGAACAGACCGCTTAGAAAATGAATCTGGGGGGACAGTTATGGGGAACCAGAAATTGGTAAAGGAGATGAAGAGATATTTTACATCAGTCTTTAGGTGGAACATACTTCGAACATTCCTTTAATACTAAAGAATGTTGGGGGGAGGCGGGGTGGAATAAAGTGCCATCACCATGACTAGACAAGTGGTATTACACAAACTAATGGAACTAAAGACAGATAAGTCCTCTGGCCCTGATGGCTTGCATCTTAGGAAACTGAAAGAAGTGGCTACAGAGGTAGTGGATGCATTGTTTGTAATTTTCCAAAAATCCTTGGATTCTGGAGAAGTACTACAGGATAGGAAGACTGATAATTCAAAAAGGGAAAGAAGAAAAAAAAAATCCCAGATGATTATAGGCAGATTAACATAACATTTGTTATTGGAAAATTGTTGGAATCAATCATTAAGGCAGTAATTGCATTACATTTGGAAAATGATAATCTAATCAGGCAGAGTCAGCATGGCTTCCTGAAAGGGACTTTGTGTCTGACTGGCTTATTAGTCTTTTGAGGAAGTCTCAACCAGAGTGGATAGAGGGGAAGAAGTAGATATGTTGTTGTTGGAACTCTAGAACGTGTTCGACAAGGTACCTCACAAAGGGTTAAGTCGTAAGAGGTTGCATTAGTGGAGCCAGTATATTGGCATGGATAGAGAATTGGCTAATGGGCAGGAAACAGTGAGTGGGGATAAGGAATTCTTTTTCAGGTCGGCGACCTGTAACCACAGCGATCAGTGCTGGGGCCACAACTGTTTAGAATATATATCTGTGACTTGGTGGAATGCATTGTAGCCAAACGTGCAGATGCAAAAAGGCAGGTTGAGAGAGAGATACGTACAGTTTAGAGAGAGATTGATAAGTAAGTGGGCAAAAAGTTGTCAAATAGAGTATAATGTGGAAAAAGTAAAGTTGTTAATTTTGGTGGGCAGAGTAAAAGATCAGAATATTGTGTGGAAAAACAGCAGAAAGTTGCAACAAAAAGGGACTTGGGGTTCTTGTGCATGAAATAAAAAACTAACACAAGGTGCAGCAGTTAATCAGGGGTTGGGAATCAAAGAATCATAGAACCCCTACAGTGTGGAAACAGGCCATTTGGCCCAACAAGTCCACACTGCCCTTCTGAAGACCATCCCACCCAGACCCATTCCCCTACATTTGCTATGTCTAGCCCACCTAACCTAAACATCCCTGGGCACTATAGCATAGCCAATCCACCTACCCTGCACATCTTTGGACTGTGGGAGGAAACCAGAGCAAACCCATGCAGACACAGGGAGAATGTGCAAACTCCACACAGACAGTTACCCGAGGCTGGAATTGAACCCGGGTCCCTGGCGCCGTGAGGTAGCAGTGCTATCCACTGAGCCACCGTGCCGCTCCAGTCTTAGTGCAACTGTACAAAGTGCTGGTGAGACCACATCTGGAGTACTGGTGAGCAGTTTTAGTCCTCTTATTTAAGGAAGGATATCATTTGATTGGAGGCAGTTCAGAGAAGGTTCAATAAGATGATTCCTGGTATGGAGGGATTGTCTATATGAGCAAAGGCTAAACAGTATGGGACTCACTACAGTTTAGAAGAATGAGAGGTGATTTCATTGAAGCATATAGGATCCTTAAGGGCTTGGCAAGGTAAAGGCTAAGAATGGGAGACTCTCATGGGAGAGTCTAAGTCAAGGGGGTGAAACTAAGAATAAAGGCGTACCAATTAAAGATTGAGGAGGAAAAATTCCTTTCCTTTAATTTAGAAAATTGGAGCCGGAATAGGCCATTTGGCTCTTTTGAGCCTGTTCTGCCATTCAATATGATCATGGCTGATCATCCTACTTGGTTCCCTGGCCTTGCTTTCTCCCTATACTTTTTCTTCCCTTTTAATCCCTAGGACTAATTCCTTCCTGAAAATGTTCAGTGTTCTAGTCTCAATCACTTTCTGTGGCAGAGAATTCCACAGGCTCACTACTCTCTGGGTGAAGAAATTTCTCCTCATCTCAGATGGCAAGATGGCAGCCGATAAGATGCTTCAGTCGGAACTTCTCTGCTCGCCGGTTCCTTTTCCATTTCCTTATTTTTCCCTCTTTGCATCATTTTTTCTTCCCCATCACCCACCACCCACCCCCAAAACCCAACTTTTAACTATTTAAACTACCCTAACCTACCTGGAGAATGGAGGTGAGATGACTTGCAGTCGGAGCCCAGGTGGGCTGCGACCTAGAGCAGCGGCAGAGCGAGCACAGGCCAAGTTCAGGAGCACCAGTAGAGCGAGTCTTGGACGGAGGCCAGCACGTGGAAGCAGCGTGGCCTGAAGTTTTTACCCCAGCAGGCATAAACTCATGTTGGAAAAGGACTAGAACTTAAGTACTTCATAGTCACTTTTTATTATCATTCTGGAAATTTTTTTAAACTGTGTATTCCCATGCTAATTTTTAAAAACTATTTCAATTCTGTGACGACACTTAAAGTACCTGTACCTAAGTACTCTGTATTTAGGATGGCACCGAGAGGCGACATTACAAACTTTTCACTGCACTCATTCAAGTGCACGTGACAGTATAAATGCTATTGTACTCTATTCCTAAATGGCCTACTCCTTATCTTTAAACTGTGACTCCTCATTCTGGTTTCCCTGGTCATTGGGAACATGCTTCCTGCATTTATCCTGTCTAGTCCTATTAGGAATTTTTTGTGTTTTAATTTTCTATGAGATATGCCCTCATTCTTCTAAATTCCAGTGGCGGTGAATATTGTAGTAACTGATCCAGTTTGTCTTGATAGGTTAGTCTTGCAGCCCTGGGAATCAGTCTGGTAAATGTTTATTGGACTGTCTGCACAGCCAGAACATCCGTCCTGAAGTGCAATACTCCAGGTGTGGTCTCACTAGAGCTCTGTACAATTGCAGTAAGACATCCCTGCACCCGTATTCTAATCCTCTCGCTGTAAAGGCCAACGTACCATTTGTCTTCTTTACCACCTGCTGCACCTGCATGTTTACTTTCTGGACTGGTATACAAGGATACCCAGGTCTCACTGCACCTCCCCTCTCCCAAACTATCACCATTCAGGTTATAAAATACTTTGATTTTGCATTCTTCAATTTATCCATGTTATACTTCATATGTTGTGCATTTGCTCACTTGGCCAACTTGCTTAAATCATACTGAAGCATTTCTGCATCCTCACAGTTCACTTTTCTATGCAGCTTTTTGTCATCTGGAAACTTGGAGATATTACATTTAGTTACCTAATCTAAATCATTTTTATATTATGTGACCATAAATGTAGGAGTATAATTAGGCCATTCGGCCTATTGCGTCTGCTCTGCCATTGGATCATGGCTGATGAGTTTCTCAACGCTATTCTCCTGGCTTCTCTCCATAAGCTTTGATCCCTGTACTAATATATTGTGAAGAGATGGGGTCTCAGAACTGATTACTACGATATCCCACCAGTCACTGCCTGCCACTTGGAAAACGATCTGCTTGTTCCTACTCTAGGTTTCCTGTCAACTAGTTCTCTAACCATGCCAGTACACTTCCCCCATTCCAATACCTTACTTGAAACTCTCCAAAGGTCCAAGTAAATCACATCCACTGGCTCCAACTTATCACTGTACTAGTTACCTGCTTAAAACATGCCGGAAGACTTGTTAAGCATGACTTTCTTTTCATGAACCTATACTGACTCTATCCAATCCAGTCACTGTTTGCCAAGTACACTGCTGTTAAATCTTTAAAATGGATTCCAGCATTTTTTTTCACTATCAAAGAGATATGCTCATTACTAACTGCTCTATAATTCAAAGCCGAAAGAACTACAGATGCTGGAAATCAGAAACAAAAACAGAAGTTGCTGGAAAAGCTCAGCAGGTCTGGCAGCATCTGTGAAATCAGAGTTGATTCATAGAATTCGTGGAATCCCTACAGTGTGGAAGCAGGCTATTTGACCCATCGAGTCCACACCGACCCTCCGAAGAGTATCCCACCCAGACCCACCCTACCCTATTCCTGCATTTCCCACCCTAGACACTATGGGCAATTTAGTATAGCCAATCCACCTAACCTGTACATCTTCAGACTGTGGGATGAAACTGGAGCACCTAGAGGAAACCCAGGCAGACATGGGGAGAACGTGCAAACGTCACACAGACAGTCGCCAAAGGCTGGAATCAAACCCAGGCCCCTGGCACTGTGTGGCAGCAGTGCTAGCCACTGAGTCATTGTGCCGCCCAGGAAGAGTCACTGGACCCAAAACGTTAACTTTGATTTCTCTTCACAGATGCTGCCAGATCTGCTGGTCTATAATTCACTGTTTTCTCTCATCTCCTTGGTTAAATAGTGGGGTTAAATTAGTGACCCTCCAATCCATAGGAACTGTTCCAGAATCTATAGAATCTTGAAAGTTGACCACCAATACATCCACTATTTCTAGGACCACTTCCCTAAATACAGTAGGCTATAGATCATCAGGCCCCAGGGATTTATTGGCCTTCAATCCCATCAATTTTGCCAACACCTCTGTCCTAATACAGGTTTCTTGCAGATCCTCCTTTTGACTAGACTTTGCATTCCCCAATGTTATTGCAACATTATTTGTGCCCTCTTTTGGGAAGAGAGAACAAAATATGTATTTAATTGTCATTT